TTATAGTTTCTGGTCTTACATTTAGATCTTTAATCCATTTTGAGTTTATTTTTGTGTATGGTGTTAGAAAGTGTTCTAGTTTCATTCTTTTACAAGTGGGTGACCAGGTTTCCCAGCACCGCTTGTTAAAAGAGGTTGTCTTTTTTCCATTGTATATCCTTGCCTCCTTTGTTGAAGATAAGGTGTCTGTAGGTACGTGGATTTATCTCTGGGCTTTCTATTCTGTTCCACTGATCTATATTTCTGTCTTGGTACCAGTACCACACTGCCTTGATGACTGTGGCTTTGTAGTATAGGCTGAAGTCAGGCAGGCTGATTCCTCCAGTTCCATTCTTCTTTCTCAAGATTGCTTTGGCTATTCGAGGTTTTTTGTATTTCCATACAAATTGTGAAATTAACAAATGGATTTTTTACGTTAAAAATAAATCAGGAGTTACAAAGTGATTTCCCGCAGTTAACAAACAGTAGGAACAGGAGTCCCGTGTATACGGTGCGAGAGGAACTTGACTTTGAAAGGAATCCAGTTGTGCTCGTTACTTGCTGTGTGGCTCATTGAGCCTCTCTGAGCTTGCTTCTTCATCTGTTCAGTGTGGATAGTGTTTGCCTCACATTTCGGGAGGGTTAGATGAAACAGTTTGTGAGCCCTTTAGCACACCATTGGACACGTTGATAAACAAACACTCCCGTTTGCCCTTTCTTTTAAAAAAACCCTTTTATATTTTCCAATTGATCGTAAACTTAAAAAATTATAATTAAAAAAATGTGAACAGCTTCTTTTTCCGTTTTGTTACTAGCTGAGAAGGAACCTAAAACTTTTAAAATCATGTAGGAAGGATGATATTTTTAGAAGAGCAGAAACAGCTGTTAAAAACCATATTTCCATTTGAGTTTATGACTTGCTCCTTCCAACATGAAAGTGTTATGAAAAAATTATGGAGTTACATTACACCTCAGAAAACCTTCCTGTTTTCAAAACAAAAAGAAAACATCAGTACTATTTGTAACTAAAGATTGTTATGTAATTATTTTTGGTTTCTTTATATGAAAAAGATTCCTAAAATGTATTTAAAGTTGAGCACATTTACTTTTCAGTAATTCAGTATTTCAGTTTTGTAGAATGGGAAATCAGGGTGTAAGTAGTGTTTTGTGACACTCAGTAACTTTAAATGTGATTTATGAAATTATATAAAACCTTGCCTAGTAATGAAGATACTGGAGTTTTTATGACTCTGTATGAGAGACTTCTTGGTGAGTGAGGGGAACAGATGTTGTGATTGAGGTCCTAGTGTAGACTCATGCACGTGATACTGCCCCTCTAGTTCTGTGTTTATCCTGGGTTTGCCATCATATAAACTAGCAGGAATTGTACCCCTCTTAAAACTGTTTCTTTTAAAAAAAGTAATAAAGTGTTTCAAAAGTTAACACGTGGGACCTGATTAAACTTAAAAGCTTTTGCACTGCAAAGGAAACTATAAGCAAGGTGAAAAGACAACCCTCGGAATGGGAGAAAATAATAGCAAATGAAACAACTGACAAAGGATAATTTCCAAAATATGAAGCAGCTTATACAACTCAATACCAATAAAACAAACAACCCAATCAAAAAATGGAAAAAAGATCTAAACAGACATTTCTCCAGACATACAGATGACTAACAAACACATGAAAAGATGCTCAGCGTCACTCGTTATTAGAGAAATGCAAATCAAAACCACAGTGAGATATCACCTCACACAGGTCAAAATGGCCATCAAAAAGTCTACAAACAATAAATGCTGGAGATGGTGTGGAGAAAAGGGAACCCTGTTACACTGTTGGTGGGAATGCAAATTGATACAACCACTATGGAAGACAATATGGAGATTCCTTAAAAAACTAGGGATAAAACCACCATATGACCCAGCAGTCCCACTCCTAGGCATATACCCTGAGGAAACCTGAATTGAAAAAAGACAGATGTATCCCACTGTTCACTGCAGCACTATTTACAATAGCTAAAACATGGAAGCAACCAAGATGTCCATCGACAGATGAATGCATAAAGAGGTCGTGGTACATATATACAATGGAATATGTCTCAGCTATAAAAAGGAATGCATTTTAGTCAGGTCTGATGATGTGGGTGAAACCTAGAACCTATCATACAGAGGGAAGTGAGTCAGAAAGAGAAAGATAAATATCTAACACATAGATAAATATTCTAACACATATATACGGAATCTAGAAAAATGGTTCTGAAGAATTTATTTACGGGGCAGCAGTGGAGAAACAGACATAGAGAACAGACTTATGGACATGGGGAGGGGAAAGGAGAGGGTGAGATATATGGAGAGAGTAACATGGAAACTTACTTTACCATATGTAAAATAGATAGCCATCGGGAATTTGCTGTGTGTCTCAGGAAACTCGAACAGGGGCTCTGTATCAACCTAGAGGGGTGGGATGTGGAGGGGGATGGGAGGGAGGTTCAAAAGGGAGGGGACACATGTACACCTGTGGCTGATTCATGTTGAGGTTTGACAGAAAGCAACAAAATTCTGTAAAGCAATTATCATTCAATAAAAAAGAAAAAAAAAGTTTTTAATCCACTTATAAACATTTCCACAAAACAGAAAAACTGAGAGGTGTAAACTATCAAGATTGCGGGTAACATTGTCTTAAAGGCAGACATCCAGTGGCCCAAGGGCATATTTAATCAATCATTTTGAACTGATTCATTAAGAATTGTGTAGAGAGGCTTTTTTTATTTGTTTATTTATTCTTAATCTTTGAAGGTTTATAAAATGATTTCTTGCCCTCACGGGAACCAGTATTCCTTCCTGCAAAGGCTCCAGCCTTACTGTAGTAGCTCATTTTCTTCTCTCCTGATCCTGGCTTGAAGTCCATGCCTCCAAGGTTCCTGCAGAGTTGCAGCTCTCCTCTTATTTTCTGCAAATCTTTCTGTATTCTTAGAGTCTGGAAGCAGTACACATAACACTTGATCTTTTATCTCTAACATACATATCACTTGGGAACTGTTTAGCGTGAAGTTGATTTTTCTGTTTCTTGTGTCGGTTTGAAGGCACGGGCTCTTTATTTTTGCAAGCCCTGTGGTACACTTCATAACTGTCCTAGGTAGCAGTGTGTGTCTGTGGCGCTCATGCGGACACTAACCAGATAAGCAGACCGGTCTAGAGTGCCTCATGCTGTTAGCTCTCTCACTCAGGTTCCTCTGAAAAGGAGAGACTGGGTTTAGATTGTTACATAGAGATTTACTTTAATATCTGTTGATACGCTATAGCAAGTAAATGAGAATATTTTATTAACATCCTATTTGATATAGTAGTATTCACCTCAGCAGTTAAGTATCATTGCTTGATACTTGGAATTCAACTTCCTAAAACAATATTCTTAAAAGTGATCAAACTCCATATAACTTCCTAATGATACCATACAGTATAACAGTATGCTTCAGACCAGGTGACTTAAATTGATTTTCTCAGAGTTCCGGAGGCGGAAGTCCAAACCCCAGGTGTCGGCAGGTGTGGCTCCCTCTGAGGCCCCCCTGGCGTGCAGGTGGCCACCCTCTCCGTCCTTGCAGAGTCTTTGCAGTGCCCGCCCCGGGGTCTGTGTGTCCACCTCCCCTTTTCTTGCAACACTACCAGGTCAGTTGGGTTAGAGTGCACCCCAGTGGGCGCATTTTAATTTCAGTCACCTCTTTAAGGACCCAGTTTCCAAATACAGTCATATTCTGAGGTAGTGGGATTTAGGACTAAAACATATGAATTTGGGGGAGGTGCTAATTCAGCCAGTAACACTTCAAAAGAACCTATTTTAATCCTTCATTTCATTATCACAACTAACACAGTGCTGAACATTTTATAGAGCACTATGAACCAGAAAATTGTATACCATGGTTTTTCTATATTTATAGCCTTAGTACATATTCATTGTAAAGATGGTATATGCACATTAAACAGAGGATTTAAGATTAAAGCAAGAAAACTCACTGTCATTCCTGTTCTCTAAGCGCTGCCACAGTGAGTACACTGGTACTGCCCTGCATAGACACTTTCTGGGTGATTAGACATTTAGATTACTTGTATTTTTTTCTTTTGTTACACTGGGATGAAGATTCTATCATAAATCTTTGTACACTGTTTTATTTCCTGCGGGTCCCTAATTTAGATAGATGTAACACTTTTTTTGGTGGTAAGATACACTTAAATTCCCTAGAAGACATTAAGGTTGTATCTGCTCCTTTTAGCCTTCAAGGGCCCCTTCCCTCCTCTTCACCGCTCCTCCCTAGCCTGGCTGTCTAGAAGCCACGTCTGTGCTGGGGGAGGGGAGGAGAGGGGTGCCCTTTGGGACAGGAGCAGCTCCAATTCCTGGGGTGACAGAGCCCTGCCTCTGCTCTGGAGATGTTAAAGAGGCACCATCCGCCTCTCCCTGTCTTTGGATTATTCCTTAAGTCAGGTATTCTTTAGTGGCGACTGATTTACTGAATTTTTTGAATATGAAATCTGTTTATTCAAAATAATCACTAATATTTTCTTTATTCTGAAAGTTAATTGTTGTTACTCTTGAAAATAGGTTTCCCTGGTAGCATAGTGGAAATAAGAATAGTGGAAAGAATAGCGGAAGAATAGTGGAATAGTGGAAGAATAGTGGAAATAAGAATCCACCTGAAATGCAGGAGATGCAGGTTTGATCGCTGGGTCGGGTAGATCCCCTGGAGAAGGAAATGGCAACCCACACCAGTATTCTTTCCCAGGAGACCCCATGGACAGAGGAGCCTGGCGGGCTACAGTCCATGAGGCTGCCAGAGAGTTGGACATGAGTTAGTGACTAAACAACAGCTCTTGAAAATACAGAAAACTCCTTATTTTGATACTTCTAAAATAATAGAAGTTTTTTTTTAAAAAATGAGTATAATTATATTTGAAATTTTATGATTGTGTTTTCAATTCTCAAAAATGTTTCTCAATTTTCTTTATAGATAACATATTTGCCATAAAATCTTGGGCCAAAAGAAAATTTGGGTTTGAAGAAAATAAAATTGATAAAAATTTTGGGATTCCAGAAGACTTTGACTACATAGACTAAAACGTTTGATGCTGTTGATGGTGAAGGAGCTATGTGCTTGTGAATATGTAAATTTTTATGTTATCCAGCTAAATGTACTGAATTGTCATTTACCTGTAACTCTTTATTGTTTTATTATTAAATAAAGTATGGAGTGTAGATGTTTTCACTCTTTGATTAGTCAAAAGCAGGATGTAGCCACGTTCCCTCAGTGCTCATCAGAGTTAGTAAAATCTGTTGAGCCTACCAATAATTTTTTTTAATAGATCAAAGCCATCATGACATGATAACATTTTTTAGTTTTATTCAAATATTAAGAACCAAGGGTACCTTTGAAGGCTGTATTATACATGCTTGAAAATAACTTTCAAAACTAATGGCTGCTTTACTGTTAATATTTCTCAGTATTTAGTGGAAAATGTGTCTGATTGAGTCTCAGTATACTGCATCATATTTGCAAATTTCCCACAGGAAAAAATACAGAAAGTTGGTGTTCCTTAAATTTAGAGTTAGGTAGTAATTCCTCAAACATGAAAGCTACTTTTTTTTTTAATGTTTGATGCCTTTCTGCTGTAAAGAAGAAAAGCATGCCCTTTGTCCTAATTTATACTCTTACTTGTAAGATGATATAATGGTATTAGTATAGCAGGCATACTCAGCTAGGGTTCAGGAATTTTTTTTTCCAACTACCTTCAAAAAAGAGTAGGTTAAAAATAATGTATGTGTTGTCTTGTGTATATATCTTTTTCCAGTTCAACTTTGGCTTTTAAGGTATTTGCAGGACAAACTTAAAGAAAAGAAAAATCAGGACTAATGTGTGTAATTTCCTTTCCACACATGCCTTAATTTTTCTCCACACAGTCTGATTTTTATATTCTTTTCAGTAACTTCAATGAGGTACTCCATATGTTTGAAGTGACCCAGATGGTATCCACACCATTTGTTAGTGAATCTGGTCTTTGAGTTGCGTTGAGTTGCCAGGGGCCTACTTACTTACTCACTTCCTGGATGTGGGTGGGAGCTTACTGGTCCAACTTTGTTCTCAGGGCCAGTTTATGTTGCCTTAGGGCAATAGCTTTTCTCACAGGAGAAAGTATTTGATGTAAGAGGCAAAGGGCAAAAAATAAAAATAACCCATCATAAGCCTTTCCCTAATATGCTAATGGAAATTCCAAAATTTCTCAGACCTTGTTTGCTGTTTCTTAGAAAGATGCTTCTGGGAATTCCCTGGCAGTCCAGTGGTTGAGGCTTCCCAGGTGGTGCTAGTGGTAAAGAACCCACCTGCCAATTTAGAAGGCATAAGAAATACAGATTCCATCCCTGGGTCAGGAAGATGCCCTGGAGGCATGGCAACCCACTCCAGTTTTCTTGCCTGGAGAATCCCATGGACAGTGGAGCCTGGCAGTTACAGTCCACAGGGTCACAAAGAATTGCACATGACTGAAACGATTTCGCATCCATACATGCCAGTGGTTAAGTGACATGGCATGGCCAAAAAAACTTTTTTAATTAAAAAAATTCAAAGGTACCTTTCTCTTTAGAGAGGAGGTATATATTTTCAAAATAAAGCCATTTTTAATGGCTTAAAAGATTCTATTTCATAAATATTTAGGTAGCTTCAACATTTTTTTCTTTTACTATATTATGGGGCTCGCCTGAGAATCACTTCTCAGCATTTGCCTGAGATCAAGTGTAGTATGGAGGCTTCTCAGGTGGCACAGTGGTAAAGAATCTGCCTGCCAGTACAGGAGTCACAAGAGACGGAGGTTTGACCTCCGGGTGGGGAAGGGGAATAGAAAATGGCAACCCACTCCAGTATTCTTGCCTGAGAAATTCCATGGACAGAGGAGCCTGGTGGGCTACAGTCCCTGGGGTTGCAAAGAGTTGGACACGACTGAGCGGCTGAGCTCACAGCATGAGAATGATGGCGATGGAGTCTCTTCATGAGCTCCCCAGAGACTGGTACCCTCTGAAGCCAGCAATGTGCTAGTAGATGTTTAACTAAACTGAGTCTTTGGAAAGTAAGTTCGGGCCTGGCTTATAGAATGTGCCTATTAATGATGTAAATACACGCAGCATAGAGAATTTCAGATTAGCACATGGTAACAGTGTCAGGTTGGAGAAAGATGCTTGGTATCATGTATTTCTACCATACAGATACAGTAGATGTAAATCCTCTAGAGCCTAGATAAGGGTAACATGTAAAGTAATTAGGGAGTAATGAGTTTTTAGTTTTAGTACTATTGATTTCAATGCAGCTATAGTTCATCGAAAAGCAAGAGAGTTCTAGAAAAATATCTAATTCTGCTTTATTGACTGCCAAAGCCTTTGACTGTGTAGATCACAACTGTGGAAAATTCTGAAAGAGATGGGAATACCAGACCACCTGACCTGCCTCTTGAGAAACCTGTATGCAGGTCAGGAAGCAACAGTTAGAACTGGACATGGAACAACAGACTGGTTCCAAATAGGAAAAGGAGTATGTCAAGGCTGTATATTGTCACCCTGCTTATTTAACTTATATGCAGAGTACATCATGAGAAACGCTGGGCTGGAAGAAGCACAAGCTGGAATCAAGATTGCCGGGAGAAATATCAATAACCTCAGATATGCAGATGACACCACCCTTATGGCAGAAAGTGAAGAGGAACTAAAAAGCCTCTTGATGAAAGTGAAAGAGGAGAGTGAAAAAGTTGGCTTAAAGCTCAACATTCAGAAAACTAAGATCATGGCATCTGGTCCCATCACCTCATGGGAAATAGATGGGGAAATAGTGAAAACAGTGTCGGACTTTATTTTTGGGGGGCTCCAAAATCTCTGCAGATGGTGATTGCAGCCATGAAATTAAAAGACACTTATTCCTTGGAAGGAAAGTTATGACCAACCTAGATAACATATTAAAAAGCAGAGATATTACTTTGCCAACAAAGGTCCGTCTAGTCAAGGCTGTGGTTTTTCCAGTGGTCATCAATTGTTGTGAGAGTTGGACTGTGAAGAAAGCTGAGCGCTGAACAATTGATGCTTTTGAACTGTGGTGTTGGAGAAGACTCTTGAGAGTCCCTCAGGCTGCAAGGAGATCCAACCAGTCCATCTTAAAGGAGATTAGTCCTGGGTGTTCATTGGAAGGACTGATGTTGAAGCTGAAACTCCAATACTTTGGCCACCTCATGGGAAGAGTTGACTCATTGGAAAAGACCCTGATGCTGGGAGGGATTGGGGGCAGGAGGAGAAGGGGACGCAGAGGATGAGATGGCTGGATGGCATCCCTGACTTGATGGACATGAATTTGAGTAAACTCCGGGAGTTGGTGATGGACAGGGCGGCCTGGCATGCTCAATTCATGGGATCACAAAGAGTCGGACATGACTGAGCGACTGAACTGATAATCCATCATAGTTTGTGTGATTTCATCTTAGAGATGGCTGTGTTAACAGCTGGCCCACTGTTACTTAATAGTTGGCTTGCCTACTGCAGCACATCACTGTTCTTAATCTTGAAGGGCTGGTTTTGAGTTTGCTCTTCCCTGAAATTAGAGATAACTGATAAAGAAGCCCAGGGGCACTGGTCCAGCAAAACTCTAGGTAATCCTTAGTCCTGGGTTGGTTTTGTAATTGACCTGAAGACTGAGGACAACTTCAGTAGACCTAGAGTCAAATTGCTAGTGATTCAGGATCAAATTTGATTCAGTACTGTATGATTGACACTCCCGATGTCATTTCAATGAATTGTGAAGTTTAAAAGGCATTTGAGAGATGATTTCCATCTTTACAACCTTCTTCACATGTACCTATCTTTTAAAGAACCCTAGGAGAAATTTTGCTGGAGAAGGAAATGGCAACCCACTCCAGTATTCTTGCCTGGAGAACCCCAGGGACCGGGGAGCCTGGTGGGCTGCCGTCTATGGGGTCGCACAGAGTCGGACATGACTGACGTGACTTAGCCACAGTAGCAGGAGAAATTTTACAATCTCCTCATGAGTTTCAATTTTCAGGGCCAGGTCAGACCACTGAAATGTCACTTCTGAGGTTGGGCCAGGACCAAAGAAATCCGTTAAGGATGGATAGGGTACCCCTTTTACGCTAATGTTTGCCGCATCATTAGTCTAATAGGATTAGGAAATTCTTGGCCTGTCTCAGAAATTGATGCTATTATCCTAAACTTTACCAAACATGATTCTAAGGGATTAGAAAAGAAAATGAGTACAGCCAAAAAGCAAGAACCACCCTAATAAATCTTGATCAGAAAAATCTAAATTATAAACCCAGTAATACTGTTTTGGGGTTTGTTTGTTTTAGAACATGATTGGAGTAAAATAGAAAATATTTTCTTGCTGATATACCATCACTGTAAGAGCAGTTACAATGGGACAGGTGGTGGGAGGGTGTCTCAAAATTATACATAAATCCCCTTTCAGGATGTGCTTCCTGAACACTGTCTGTATGCTAGGAGGAAAAATGTACTGCATTGTGAACTGTCCCACTGCAGTGAATTTATATTATACTTACTCCAGCTTGATTTGTAAAAAATGATTTGTAAGAGATAAGAGGTCAGGTGATGTGACTATCTTTGAATCTCAAGGCTAATGATATCTATTAACCAAGAATGGCAAGCTGCCGTCCCAAGAGCCAACTTCAAGTCCTGATTTTTACAGCCCTGGAGCTAAGAATGCCTTTTTACACTTTTTAAATGATGTAAACATAGGAGTAAGCAACAGAGGCGGTATGTAGCCTACGAAACCTGAAATACTTACCAGCTGAAACTTTACAGAAAAAGTTTGTCAACTTTCAAAAGATCAAAAGCTGACAGCCTGTGGTCTGGATAGATAGACATGCGAGGCATATTTTGCCTAACCTGTATTTTATTTTTTATTTAAATTAGTTGCCAGCACAGTCGCATGTAAAATGTCAGGCGCATTTCTAGCTTCCTTTGGAAACTGAATGATTCAACAGCCCACTTGGCAGCGCATCTGCTAGAGGTGAGAGGACTCGGGGAGGGCGAGTGCCGCTTTCTCCCGAAGCCACCCTTCTGTTCCAGGTGGCACTCTGCCGTGAGATCAAGCTTTAGTCTCAGCTTTTCAAATTCCAGAGGGAAAATCCCAGTGCCGTTTTTTGTATTAAATGTCTAACATAGAACTGACATCTTGATGATGAAACATCCTA